TTTTGATCTGAAAATATAAAAACAAACAAGCAGATGGATGGGTCACCATAAAAAAATCATCACCAAAATAAAGGGGGGAAGCCATGCAGAAACAAACCTGGTGATATGGCAGCACTTATTTGTTTAGATGCATTATAGATATGACGGACAAATGGCATTCGTTTAATAAACCACTCCCCTAGGCTCAGGACAGAAGCCCCCAGCCATGATGACATAAACACCCCAACCAAGAAGATGAAGGTTATAGAAGTTACAAATCCAAGACCTAATCAGGAAGGAAGAGAGTTAAAAACAATGAGTTAGTAGAGTTGTTTTCATTGATTGACAGAAAATCAGCATATAATTAAATTTGTCAACAAATACTAAGCGCAATATCACAGAAATGAAATGGTGAACCATATTTTCTAATTCTAGGGAGATCTAAATAATTTAGAAATTTCTCCATTGAAACACATATTATTTTCAGTCATGTTAAGCCATACATTTTAGACATGAAACTGTTGCCCTCAAAAAGGGATCTAACCATCATTACTAAAAAAAAAGAACTAAAACTCCAAGAATTAAATAGAAAAAAATAAAAATATCTTAGAAGATGAGCTAGTAGGACACAGATTCTTGTGCAGAAGGTTCCATTATTTTAAGCACACCCCCTACCTTGATCTTCGTTAGCACCATGTCTGGATATAAATTATTAACAGAAAGGAACAGAATGGAAGAAAAATGGGGTTTTTAAAGGCAACATATTTCCTTCTTTGGATAGCTAAAAATTGGGAAAAGAAAGGATCAAAGGATTGTTGCAATCCTTATTTGGTTTAGGTGTGCAAAGAAAAGAAAGTGATACATTTTGATGAATATTTTAAGTATACCTTCCACATACACGATAAATAATTAGAAACATGAGGACAAGTATATCATCTTGTCACCAGAAAACTTTAATTCTTTCCTTTCCCCCTTTCCTCCCACCTTGGAATGACAAAGTTTGGATGGTGAAGGAAAGATAGGGATGCTTACTATCCCTTTGTCTCACTTCCTCTTTTCTTCTCACATCTTTTCTCCAAATAACGCAAGGGGTGATTTCTTTCCCTTCCTTTATTCTCCCTTCCTCAATCCAAAAACAGTGTGATAAACAAAAGTCCAAGCATAGAATACATTTAGATTAGGAAGGACAGATCAGAAAAGACTTTCCAATCTCAGAAAATAATTGTCCCATAAATCTTTCAGCCTAATTGTTAGTTCCTCCACAAACATTAGTCGAAGCGTATTAAAGAAGATGACAAAAATTAACCATTAACCTAAAATAGATATGACAAAGTTGTCAAGAAGTTTCAAGTGACTTCTCTAACTTGATTGCAATAATGCCTTCAGAATCAAATTATGCTATCTGATTCCAAATCTTCAAAGCAAATTAACTTCACATATTAGACCAAAATCCAACAAAAATACTCACATCTAATAAATACAAATCTGCTGAATTAAAAAAATAAAATTTCATCTGCTTTGCACTAAAACAAACTATTAAAAAGCCAGAGATGCATGCATTGACGGATTTTCTGCATTAACATCCATGACAAAAGATATTATTCAACGCTAACGGAAATTATAGGTATATATGAATATGTAATGCGCAACTAGATCTCCCAGTCACAGAATTCAAGGTTGAATTCCAAAAAAAGGATAATACATAGTGTCCATCCTGCGTGTTCCCAATGAAGATTGACTAGGATTTCAACCAAAACCAATACAAGATAAAATCTAATAGGATTTTATTACTCTTAACAACCAAATACAGCATCCTCTCTCCGATATGTCCCCTTGCGAATTAATATAGAGCATAATTAAATTGCAACTATTTTTACAATTTGGAGGGATGCTAGATAAAAAGAACTTGGACTTGATCAAAGAAATGCTTACCAAAGATTTCAATTCCAAGTTGAGCATAGATTGGCGAGAAAAAGCCATCCACAAAGTGAATAAACCACCACGTTATATAGAAAGTGATTGCTATGGGAAATAGGATGACACTGAAAAGTAACAAAAACTTAGGAAACACTGCATCAGTGTTTTAAACAAAGCACGTGAACACATAAAATACAGCCATTTGTCTTTACCAGAGATTTCAAAAATAAAAAACACTAGGACAAACATATGCATAACTATTCTTTCTCAAAAGACCAAAATACACTAGACTGATAAATACCTAAGCAACTGTACTGACAATGCTATTGATATGAATCAAATGCATGAGGTAGACGAAGGAAATACCCACCATCCAGTCATAAACTTTTTTGATGCCCAGCTTCTGACAACCTTGTAAAATGTCTACACAAGAACAAAACAATGTTCAAACTCCATTAGAAAATATTTAAAAAAAATAAAACACAAAGAGAAAAGGAAATGCACTCGTCTGCATATACTTACAATGCATGCTAAGAAAATATTGCTATTAGTATGTCAAAGGCTCAAAACAATGATATATCAATTTTGTGACTACATACATGTGGTTATTCAGCAACATTGTATATAACTCATAATCAATTAATTTGTTGGCAGTATGTTCCTTTCTTATAAAACAATAGCCTGTTGGCAACATAATCACCATTCAACAATAAGAACCACTTCCATTCTTTGCAATGCATGCAGACATCAGGTCCATGATAACGAGATAAAGAAAACAATTAGGGTTTGGCTATACATCCCAGGATTGAAGCACATTGATAGTGACAAAGACTTTCCTAGACGGGCTTGGAAAAAAATGCGAGCATCAAGAAAATTCCTTTGCTTTTGATCAATATTCATTCAAAACTTGTTTTTTGCCCACACACCGTAAATTAACTTTGCATTTCGAAAGAAATTCCATGAACTAGAAGTTTTAACACCGGAATGGACAATTTTATTACGGAGGGAATTATTGGACATTTTGATTCATTCACAAAAATCCATTAACCAAGAAAGTAGAAAGAAATGCATCTGAAAAAAACGTGGGAAGAACACAAGGAGCGTGAAGAAGCCATCTCCTAAATTCTAAAGCCCATGTAGTGCAATTTTGCAAGGCTTGGAAGAGAACAAAAGATTGAAATCATATATCATGAAACCTTTATATGTAGCGAATGATTGTGAAAATCCACTATCACTCAAATTAGAAATGGAAATAGGAAATTGTCGCTCCCATCACATATATGGAGCATCATTTTCTAAGATTTTAATGAAATGTGAAACTGCTTCTCATTTAGTTCCATACCACCCCCAAATGCCACTTAAAGATTTGAAAAGAAGAAAGAAAGAAAATAGCTAATCCAAACTCCATTGTATCATCAACAGGCAACCATGATATTGAATTATATTGAGCTCTGTTGTCGAAAACAGAATTCGGAGAACAACTGAGCCTCCTAATTATCCTTAAACAACTGAGCAGCACAAAGTTAACAAATAATGGATTAAGTGCCAGTGAAACTTCAAATCTAAAGCACACTATATGCTTATTGGTATGCATGTCATAAATAAACAAAAGCAGCTCTAAATACTTTTAACTAAAAAATTTTACCCAAACCTGACACAAATCTCCATTAAACCAAGTCAGTGAAAAGACAAGATTAAGTGAAAACTGAGGGGAAAAAACACAAATAAAGCCGAAACCAAATGCAAGTGCAAAATATAAAATAAAAATCTAATAAATAGATAAGAAAACGAAAATAATGCAGCAACGGGAACAGTACAGACCTCGCGGCCAGTATGATGAGAAGATGAAGAAGATGAGGGTCTAGAGGAGGCATCGTCGACAGAATCAGCGACTGGAATGAGAAGTTCCCGATCTCTATCTCTGTCCCTCTCCCGAGTCGCCATAACGATCGCCGATTTCTCATCACCCATCACCAGAGCAGCAGCCGGAAAACAGAAAATAAATAAAGAAATAAATAAATTTCACCTTTGGCAAGTCAAAACCTCAAATCCTAAAGCTACGACTCTCTTCGCGTCTGGAGCACTGAACACTACTTTCCTATCCGTGCACAGATATTCAAAGAGAGGATGATGATGAGATTAGAGATGTGGAAGAGGACCCCTTGGAAATCCCTTTTCCCAATTTTGCTCAACTAGTTGGTTTTTCTGATTTATGAACTAAATTTTGTTTTCGTCAAAATGTCTGTTTTGGCAATGTAATGGATTGATCATTTATTTAAAAAATAATTTTATAAACAGATTAAAATAATTGGGACAAAAAAAAAAAAAAAAAAATCCCCCGGCATTAAAATTATAACAACTCCAACTTTATACCCGCTAATAAAATGTTCAATTTTAACATAAAAAATATTTTATATTACATTTTAAATTATTATTGAAATTACTCGGAATTATTTTAATAAAAATAATATTAAATTATGATATAAGTAATAATTGACTTTTAGGAGTGTGGCTACTTAAATAGTTAGTAGTAGCATGTGATGGATTCAAAGAAATCAAATTTTCTGGTTATTATTTTAATATTTTAATTTGATAATTCAAGGTGGCAGGCATTGTTAACGAGCTGTTTCAACGGATATAATTAATACATGCCTTCTCTTACATAATTCTACTGACATAACAAAAAATTTAATTAATTATGCTTGTGTGTTAAGTATTAGTTTATATGTTGTAGTTGATAGCTATGAATCACAAAATTGTATAATTATAGTTTAAACATTAATTTGTGTATATTAAATACTTTTATAATTAAGGTTTAACTGCTTCAATGTTTGTTCGTAATTAATTTGAATATGAAAATTCAAAGCTCCGAAATGTCAGTTTTAACGTGTTGATTCTTCTAGTCTTTGAACGAGAAGTTCATGGAAGCTAACAATTTTAATTGATTTAACAAGTTCTTTATCGGCAAAAAAAAAAAAAAAAAAAAAAATTTGTTTAAGAATTAATTATGAAAAATCTTAAATATACATACACGTGGTCTGGAAGGTTTAATAAGTAATAATTTTATTTTTAAAATTTTTATTATTTAATACTAATGGAGTTTTAATCACATTATATTACTCAGTTAATTAGATAAAACTTTATTGATGTACATAATATTTCCTTACCAAACCGATTAGAATTTATAGAAAAATAGCTAATCATCCTGTTCTATAAAATACAACGGAATTTTGATTACATTTTTTTGGCATTATTTTACCGAAAATAAAAACTAATTAACCTTAAAAATATGCCTACTTTTTCAAAAAGGAAAAAATTGAAACGAATTACCCAATACTATTATTATAATGGGCTAGTGGGCCTATCTTCTGTTTTGATTATATTTAAGTAAACTGCCCTGGTCGCCTGCGTTTTGGTCACCGCCCATTGATTGCACGCCACGTATGAATTGGTTTGATTTCTATATATATTTCCTTTGAATTGATTTTCTCTTTTATACTAGAGCATCGTTTGTAAATTATGGGAGATAGGAATTTTATTTATTTTTAAAGATAATAAATATATAAAAACAAGAAAAGACTCAACGTGTAGGAGATAAGAATAAGAATGGTAATAATTATTACATATCTGCAGGGGGTTGCGAAAACTTATATTATTAAACGGGGGAGTAAAACAAAATGGGCTCAAGGAGGAAGAAGCCGAAAACAGCGTCGAAAAGAGATGAGACTTTTATAAACCAGCTGTCGAGCTTCCTTGTTTTGAGGCGAAAAAGGTAAAACCAGTCATTTCCACATCACCATGTATACGTGTTTGTTAATCTCCTTCTTTATAAAAATGGAGATCACAGATTGATTACAGATGCTTCTCGGCTCCACCCTCCGTGGTTTTTGGTTTTTTCTTACTTCTCTTCGTCATCCACAGGACGACGCCATCAGCTTCAAAAACCTCCCGATAAACATCAACGTATAAACTTAACCAGATAACGTCGCACCTCCTTTTTTTTCCCCTCAGATTCCCAACACAAAAACAGAGAGATGCTGGAAGGGAAAGCAATGATAAAGGAAACAGACATGCCTGAGAAGATGCAGAGCCAAGCCATGGCTTCTGCTTCGCAGGCACTAGATCTCTACGATGTCTCTGATTGCATCTCCATTGCCGCCCACATTAAAAAGGTGAGTATTCAAATTACTTTTGATATTTATAGTTTTCTTATTTATTTAGAAACAAATGGAGGAGGACATGGGTTGATGGGTGGGTTTGCAGGAATTTGACAAGAGATATGGAGGTGGGTGGCAGTGTGTGGTGGGCTCTAATTTTGGTTGCTTCTTCACCCACACGAAGGGGACTTTCGTTTACTTCGCACTTGAGAGACTCAATTTTCTCATCTTCAAGGGATCTTCTTCGTAATTTCGGGAACAAAGAAAACCCAGAAAAACTTGAAAAAGAAAATGGGGGAAAAACCCAGAGGGGATTGGCACGATCAGAATCATGTACTATGCTGTTAGGGTTTATAGTTTTTTTTTTTTTTTTTTTTCTGAATGCGATATTATTAGAGGATTAGTAGTAGTTGAACTTTCAATGTTTAATTATTTCAATCAGAGATTTCTCATGTCGTGATCAGTTCTACAAACTTTACACTATCTGCAACGTTTAACGGTATTTAATTTGTCAAATATATATATATATTTTTTATGGGAGTGTCTGATTACTCATAATCTTGGGGTGAATTTTACGTTTATTATTTTGATTAAAATTCAAACAAAATTCTCATTTCACATTTCTTGCGTCATATTAAAAATGATTATGGGTAATATTTTGATGACATAAAAAATTAGACAGATAAAGTTTAAAATAACAAATAAAAAGGTTGATACAACATATAGATATGAAATTCCAATGAATTAAGTATGAAAAGGAAAGATTCATTGCAAAGCAAGCAACTGTTCACTGCAAGAAAACACTGTTGATTGCGTGATCTTTCAAAACTCATAACAAACATGACTCACGGGCAATTTTAGCGTTGATTATTAGAATCAAGGAATTACCAAGAGGAGAAATAGATAAATTTAAAGTTTCTCTTTTTTTTTTGCTACTGAATATAATGAACATAACCACGTTATAATATAAACAAAAAAAAAATCAACAATAATAAAGAAAACCTTAATATCGGGTTCCTTTTTAACGACAATATGTAAAGAGAGGGTGGGTTCACTGGGTAATGATGCCCAGTTTATAGCAATTAGGACAGAATTAGCTTTAAGCAGGTAATGATGCCATCTTATCCGGTAAGAATCTTCTTCACCTGCACATAAATAATTCATTACGTCGTTTTGTTATTTTATGTAAATTGTTCACCTTCTTTTTCTCTTCTTCATGGCCCAGATTGTTGTTGTTGGTGTTTTTTTTTTTTTTTTTTTTTAATTTATTTTCAAGAAACAAAGTTGAGAGCAAGTTGAACTAGTGACAAAACCAATGATAAACTCAGTAGATAAGCTAAAACAATCACATCTATAGTTCCCATTTTTACATGAGATGCAAGAGGTCAAAACTCATGGAGCCCAATCCGACCATAAGATTTTTAGTTGAGGTGGAAGATACTGAAATGGAGTCTTAAACTGTGATGAGTCTACATATCCTCATCAAACACCAATAACAAAAACTTTCCATTTCTGTTGTATTAACTTAAATCACTTATGTACATGAGATTGCAATAATATCTACTTTTTCAACATGTATATCAGAATGAACATACGATAATTCACATATATACATATATATTTGAAGAGCAAATTATGAGAAAACCTCTTCAATCAACCCACTAAAGATTAGTGTCTCTACTTCTTGTACTACTTGCTCACTATCGTCCAACGAAAATCCGTTCCTCCAACCCATATCCCACATTCCACTGACCAGTCCTCCGCATTTCATGTCTCTTTCCAACATAACATAAAGACTGTCAATGGGATAGCTCTCGCCAGCAAACTTACTATAGCTTTTCAATACTTCAACTCCATTACAAATTTCTTTCAAAAGTTGATCAAGGGAGATAAAGCTTCTGATTTTCCCCATAAGGTTTTGTAACAATGGATTAAACACTCGCAAATCAGAAAGACTTCTACGTTCAGTAAGTTCGTTAGCACAATCTATGGAGAGCCTCTGCTCAGAAATCAACGAATCATCATTGCAAAATGTTTGTAAGGTTGTAGTACCATTCACACTGATGTCAAAAAGCTCCTTTGCATGACTAAAAAAAGCTGGAGCACTCAAAAGCAACGCTTCTAGACTGGTTTCAGTGTTGAAGTCTTTGTTATCTGCTTCAGAAAGACAGTGGTTGCCTACTTGTTCGACAGTTTTAAGGTCCTCATTTTCAGATTTTATCAGCATATCATCACTAATACAGATTTCACCAGTTTTATGATCCTCCTCATCTTCAGAGTTCAGCAGCATATCATGGAAAATAAAGCCTTCACCAGTTTTGGGATCCTCCTCGATTTCAGAGTTCAGAAGCATAGTATCACAAACAGAGCTTTCACTGTTGCTGCCACATTCTACAATGAATGAAAACAGAAAGTCACGTAAGTACACATTCTGCATTGAACCATAAGTTATATTTTCCAAATTAAGAACCATAGTCCCAAAACAGTGTACTAATATGTTATTACCACAATCTTGCAAGAGATTGATTATTCTTCCTCACCACAATACACTAATTTTCTCTATGTGAGCACCCAGGGAAGTAGAGAGTGCAGGCATGACATACTTGGGTCCCTCTAATGTCGCAAGTTCCACAAAGACAATTTTTTATTCAGATAAGCTAGATATGGAGTTAATTAATAGAGTATGGTTACACTATAACTAATAAGGAACCTAATGACCCTACCTCCAATCAGAACTTCAGATGAATATGTATCTTCCTTTGGATGGTCTACGGGTGAGCAGTTCACAAGCAAAGAGTCATTTTCAATCACAAGACCAATGATATTCTCGTCTTCTTTGCATTTCTCAGCCTGCACGATAGACTGAATCAATTTTCACAAGTCCACAAATATCCTTAATTGCAGACTAATGATTGTTTCAAAATCATGTGTTTTTCTGTTTTATTCTCTTATTTTCGGCATTCCATTTGGAAAAGCCAGAACAAGATGAACATAGACATGAAAAACAAGTATATAAGCAGAAATGGAGGTAGTTTGACTACATCAAGGATCACAGCCATGGTGAGACTCACAATTACTTCAGTTGCAGGGGGCTCACTTGCTGGCTTTTCTTTCTTCACCAGTCGTCTCTTTCCACCATTAGAACCATTGACCCGAATTTGTGTTGCGCAATTTGACATGTTGCTCGAGGTAGAACTTCGTTCTCGGGGAATTTGTTTTGTCGCACAAATTGATCCACTTTCTGGTATTTTGGTCCTTGCAGGGGTCACCTTGACTTGATCTTGAATTCTAGGTACGTTTTTAGCTCTTGCAGCACCCTTTTCAATTGGCATTTTGCGAGTGACTGCTGCATTCACGCTCTGGTGAAATGCTTCTCTTCTCTGTGGTTGGGGAGATACCATATCTTTCATCCTACCGGAAGCCTTCTTAGCATTGCTATCTTTTTCTTCTGGTCTAGTATATACATCCTTGTGATGTTTCACTCCTTCCTGACTATGTTTCTTTATTGGAATCTCTTCTGCTTCCTTTTTCCTTCCCGGGTTTTTGGAATTTATAGAACCTTTCTTGTGGGCAAGGTTTTTAGAGGGAACTTGCTCTTTCGCTTTTGGTTTCTTGGACATCATTTTTACGTCTAGGACTTCCTCTTTCTGAAAAGAGGATTCATTTTGTGCATCTGATTCCAGGTGTGGGACATATAGGGGTTTTATAAGTACAATAGGTGGGTTATCATCGCTCAATAATTTCTGCCTAGGATACGAATCATCCAACTGAGATAGCTGTGATTTTATGCGTTTGACAGAATTGCTTCTGAGAAGTCCTTTAAATTGCATGGTATCAAGAATCTCCTTTAGTTTCCTGTGTCCATGATCTTCTGCTTGAACTACCAATGAAGGCTTCTTGAACATTGGCCTATCAATGTCAAACATAGACCTCCGCTGATTGGGAATCTTCTCACTTTCTGACTGTTTTTGGGTAGTTCTCTGTAATGGTTTTGAGGGGAATTCTTCTAGACCCATAAGCTTGGCAATCAAATTTGGGCTTTTCACCTTCATTGGTGGAGTTGCTGATGATACAGATGATTCGGTAGAACTGTAATGTAAGGGTTCAAAAATTGAAGATTGACTTGAGCTCGAGCTTGTGAATGGGATTTTAAAAGCTACGTCCGAGTTCCTTTGACGAAAGAGATTCTTCTCTTGTGTGATTGAGTTAGGCAATAGATTTTGCTTAACAAAGCTCTCTTTGATCACTCTCCTGAGCTCTTCATAACAATCCCTTGATGACCCATCCGTTGAAAGCCGTGGTTTTTGAAAGCCATTCTGATGATCTCCTAATTGATCTGACCTTTCAGTCCCCACTTCGGAAACTGTTCCTCTTTCAGACTTTCCCTTCTGTTTCTTCTTCAACTTTGCCATATAACGTGATGCTTCTTGCAGTTTACCAAGCATGACTAAGGAGTCTTGGAGATCAAGAGCTCCTTTCAACAGATCTTTTGCAATATCTTTAGAATGGCCATCATAACTCAGGCCCTTAGACCATGAGTCAATCATCTCATTCAGTTTTCGAGCTTCTCTAGACACCTCCATGAGCTGCAAAGATGATGGACTACTCTGAAAATCGTCAGTACTCCCCTTAAGGGCTCTTTTCTCTTTCTCTACGTTATGTGCCAAAGATGTCTTTGACTTTGAGTCGTTTGGTTTTTGGCTTTCGATTTTCTTTTCAATTGTCCCAGAACCTCTTTTGGATATTCTAATGGTTCCACATTCAACGACTCCTTTTGGATCATCACATGTGAGAAATGATCTGTAGACAACTGACTTCAGACTTTCTTGAGGCATATTCTGTGACCAAGTAATAACGTTGAAAAGTTCAGATGATGTTGACTTGAAAAACCAGATCCACCATTAACATTTCAATTCTTGTAAAATACATACGTGGGGGCTTGGATATTCTAATTTTTCAAGAATCGCCTGCAACAGATGAAAATTTCACTTGTTTGGTTCTGTCTCATTGAAAATGACAAACAAAAGAAAATAATCAGTTGCAGCCACAAAAAAACGAAAAAAGCCAAAGAGAATAAACAATAATTAGATACTTAGATCATCCTGTATGTGAGGTTTCAAACATGAACATATACAGGCTGTTTTTGAAAAATATTCAGTCCTAGATTCTCAGAAATCCCTTATTCAACCATAAATCCAGAGACATGCAGTAGCAAAATAAAGAAGGGTTAAACTTTCACAATTCAGAGGCATGTACAACAATCATATTAAAAGCAAAAATAATAAAGAAACCATAATTTGACCATAAAAGCATATAAAAACATGTTGTTTTCTTCTTTTGCATACAAATGACAACTCAACAAACCAGAGGGAAGAAAACGATAAAACGCAACTGACTTCCAAGTTGTTCTTCCTCAGCATTGAACAACCCAGTTCTCCCTCTTTCTCCCCCTACTCAAAACGCAAATCATACTGCACAAACAGAACATTAATACAAAATGAAGGGCAAACAAAAAAAAAGGGAAAACGAGATGAGATGATGCATGTAAAAAACAATCACTGAAGAAGATGAGACAAGGAACAGAATCTATGAACAGTTGCAGAGAATCCGTACCAGCAAGTGAGCTAGCTGTGAGTCAGATTCAGAAAAGAATTAACTAAAACCAGTCGGTGCATTGACTTTGCGATGGAGCCGGCGGATATCTTCTTTGTTGAAAGGTAAGAAAGTTTCAAGGAGGATTTATTTTTGGGGCGGGGGGGGGGGGGGG